GTTAAGGGTCAGAGAAAAAGAGGAAGACCACCAGCGAGATGGATTGGCAAAGTGGCAGCATGAATGGGCTCAAGTGTGGCAACAATAGTGAGGTTGGCCCAGGATCAGGCAGTGTTTCGTTCTGCTGTGCATAAGGTCACTTATGAATTGGTACCAACTCGATGGCACCTAACAACAACAACACTGCAAATAAAAATCAAACAGAGTTAAACTACTCAATTTAAAAACAAAATAAAAACTACTTCTAAACCTGAACTTGCAATGAGTGCTGAAAATGCAAAGAAAAAAAGGAAACACACAAAACCAGGGTCATGAATTAACTTGTGTCCTCCACAAACTAAATGTCAATTTGGCTGAGCTATGACTGTCCTAGTCTTGGTGTGAGGCTGCAGAACACACATTTGACAGCAGGGTTGGCGGTTCAACCTCCCCAGCCGCTCCTCAGAAAGCCTCTGCAGGGCTGCTCTGAGCTGGAACGAACTGACAGCACCAACCAACGGTTCTTACTGGGTTGGAAATGATGTAATAATGTCAGGTGGCAGTCATGTGATGATTCCCTATGATGTGATCTGATGAGATATACCCGTAAAAGGATTAAGGGTGGGCTGAACACGGAGATCTCGCCAAGAAACGCTGGGTTTACAGATGCTGATAGCAGACAAGGCCCTTGCTCCAGCCTCCTAAACTCTGAGGGAATACATTTCTGTTTGTTAACCATTACTTGTATTATTTCTGTTACAGCGGCACTAGAGAACTAAGACACCAGTATTTGTTCTAACAAAATTTAAATTTAAACAGTGTCAAGCACAGACTGTAGAGATGGCACACACCAGGCAGTGTTTTGTTCTGTTGTACACAGGGTTGCTATGAGTTAGAAATGACTCAAGAGCTCTTTAACAACAACATGTAACAAACTCACATATCTGGCTTGATGACATCATAGAGTGTACAGTTAAGTGTAACCAAAAGCTTAAGTAAAAAAGCATATTTCTTAAATTGTTGTATGTTTGTTAATTCCTGAAAGGGTTCTCAACTATAATCAAAACCTATCCAAATCTCTGGTAGCGCAGTGGTTACCAATCGCGCTGCGAACCGCAAGGCCAGCAGTTCAAAACTACCAGCAGTTCCGTCCGCAGGGGAAAGATGAGGCTTTCTGCTCCCGTAAAGATTTACAGCCTCGGAAACCCTGAACAGGGTCGCTATGAGTTGGAACCGACTCCAGGGAACATCACCACCACCACCATCAAGTAAGAAACCGGCAATCAGGGACTATTTAAAATTTGTGTTCACAAGTACGGGATCATATAGAATGTGCTACAACGCTCATTCCAAAGCTAATATGCAAAAATGCCCACAAGTTCGTCCCGAGTTGCTATTAATTACCATCAAGTCAGTTCTGACACAGCGACCCTGTGTGGGGTTTCTGAGAGGCAGCTGGTGGGTCTGAACTGTCCACCTTGTGGTTCACAGTCCAGTGACGATCCCACAGCGCCACGTAAGGAGTAGTAATTATTCTCTTTCGTCTCAAAGAGGTATTGAACACCTTAAGTCTGAATGGCACGCAGTGGCCACTGCAGCCCAGGCAGGCAAGGCCCTCAAACAGCGATCTCCTGCCAGGTATGCAGAGCAACTGATAATTCACTCCGAAATCGCTACCAGGGCTCAAGGAGCTCTGATTGCTTAGTGGTTACCAATCGGGCTGCTAATCTCACGGTCAGCAATCCCAAACTATCAGCTGTTCTGCCGGAGAAAAGATGAGGCTTTCTGCTCCCGTAAAGATTTACAGTCTCGGAAACCCTGTACAGGGTCGCTATGGCTTGGAACCGACTCCACGGCACCTAACCACAACCAGAGCTCTTTCAGGCTTACTTGATAGGGTTTAAAAGTCCTCTTGTCGAAAGGAAAACGCTACAAAAGTCCTCCGCGGAGAACGTGTGTTTTGTTTATACTATTAAGTTTTCTAATATATACTAACAAGAAAGCTGCGGACCTCCTGCCAACGACCTACAGCTGTATTGAGAGGAGGTCCAAAAACAAACCCATTGCTTCGATGTCCACTCTGACTCATGGAGACCCCACCCGGCAGCGAGCTGACCATAGGGTTTCGAAGGCCGTCATCTTTTCGAAAGCAGAGTGTCACACCTTTCTCCCGCAAAGCACTGCTGGGTCGGATCGCCTACGTTCGGTTACCAGCCGAGCGCTTAACTACCGTGACACCGGGGCCCCAGAAGTGTAGGTTCGCAGCTAAAAAAAAACTACAAATTAACTACAGCTAATTTTCTAAAAAGGAGCTCTGGTAGTGTAGTGGTTACAAATTGGGCTGCTAACCTCAAGGTCGGCAGTTGGAAACTACCAGCTGTTCTGCGGAAGAAAGAGGTGGCTTTCTGCTCCCTGTAAAGATTTACAGCCTCGGAAACCCTGTGCAGGGTCACTAAGAGTCGGGACCGACTCCACGGTACTGAACAACAATTTGCTAAAGACCTTAAACCGGGTACAGGAAACCGACGCAGATCGTAAATGCTGCCCGCGGGACCTGGTGGGCGTGGTGGGGAGGGGCGCCCCTCCAGGGGTTGGCTCCGACCTCCGCCCGGCCCAGCACAGGCCCCACTGACAGGGCAGCCTGGGCCCGGGAGAGAGGCAGGCTGCGGCCGCCGGCCCGGAGGGACAGAGACCAGGAGGGAAGGGACGCACCCCGGCCTCCGTCCAGTCCCCCGACCGACTGGGAGCAGCGATGGGCGCCCGGCGGCGAGAGCGGGGCCGGGGTTCTCGCGGGGCTGTCGGGCCCGGGCCGCGCAGGCTCCTCACCATGGTCCTGGTTGAAGCCGGCGTAGAGTAGCCCGTTGCCGTGAGGGTTGCATGGGAGGAGATTCATGGTGCCGCCGTCGGTCAGTCGTTCCTCAGTGCCGCATGACGTTCGGGAAGCCGCGGTCGGGTCCGGTCGGGCCGGCGCCGGGGCCGCGCCGGAAGCGCTGGGCGGACGTGCGTGTAGGCGTGCGCGCCGCCAGGAGCCCAGAGCGTCGAGCGAGCCCACCTCCGGGCGGCGAGCGCCGAACACGTCTACCTCGGGGGCGGGGCCTATGACGCGCTTCCGGGCCCCAAGGCTCGGAGCAGAAGCGAGAACTAGAGACTCCGGGAAGGGGCGGGCCATCCGAGAAGAAGGGCGGGCCGTCGGTCCTCGCACGCAGGCGGGTCTCAGAGGCCCGGCTGGTATCCACGATCCCACCATGTGGACACACACAGGACACTGACCCCCTCTAGGGACACAGAACCCCCTCCAACACAGACTACCCCTACCCCATGGGCATATACACACAGACACCTCTCGTGAAACAGATCCCTATGGGATACACACAAGGACACAGAGCCCCCTCGTGGGACACAGATTCCCTGCCCCCACCTCCACCCCCCAACCAGATACACAATACTCACCTCACGGGATATACACATAGGACACACAGACAACCCTCCACGGACACAGAATATCCCCCCCAAGCACACACACAACTCCCTCACGGCAACACAGAGACCCCACAGGACAAAGACCACCACTAACAGAATGGCTTCCCTCACCCACTGAAGAAGGAGCAGAGCCCAACACCCCCCAGACTGACTGCTCAGTCTTCAGAACAACAGGACAGGATACTCAAAAAGACTGACAGTTTCTCATCCCCTTCCCCAACTCCCAGGGAGCAGTTCAGGGTCTTAGCTATGGCTGGAGGGAGTGCTGTTAAGTGTTGTCATGTCGATTCCCACCCATGGCAACCCTGTGTAGGGTTTCCGAGGAGTAGCTGGTGAGCTTGAACTACCGACCTTGTGGTTCAAAGCGATTTTGCAATCCAGCACGTGAACCCACAGTGCCACATCAGAATACTCACGTGGAAAGAAAACCAAGGGTGGGCATGGTTGACAAAGAATTGGAGAAAGTGTGTGATCTGCAATAGGGGTCAGGCAAGTATGTGTTGTGGAGTTGGTTCTGACTTCTGATTCATAGAGGCCATGTATAGGGTTTCCAAGGACTATAAATCTTCATGGAAGCAGAAAGCCTCGACTTTCTCCTGTGGTGGTGGTTGTAATGTGCCATCGAGTCAGTACCGACTCATAGCAACCTTATGCACAACAGCATGAAACCCTGCCTGATCCTGGGCCAACTTCACAATTGTTGCCATGCTTGAGCCCATTGATGCTGCCACTTTGCCAATCCATCTTGCTGGGGTCTTCCTCTGATTCTCCACCCTACCAAACATGACATCCTTCTGCAGCGACTGGTCCCGCCTAATAATATGGCCAAAGTATGAGAGACGAAGTTTGTCCATCCTGGCCTCCAAGGAGCACTCTGGCTGCACTTCTTCCAACACAGATCTGTTGGTTCTTTTGGCAGTCCATGGCACTTTCAATATTATCCTCCAACACCATAACTCAAAAGCATCAATTCTTCTACAGTCTTCCTTATTCACTGTCCATAGGAGGTTACTGAAAATACCATGGCTTGGCTCAGGTGCACCTTAGTCCTCAAGCTGACATCTTTGCTCTTCAATACTTCAAAAAGGTCTTGTGCAGCAGATTTGCTTAATGCAAAATGTCATCTGATTTCTTGACTGCTGCTTCCATGAGTGTTGATAGTTGATCCAAGAAGAATGAAGTCCTTGACAACTCCAATCTTTTCTCCATTGTTAAGAATGTTGTTCATTGGTCCAGTGGTGAGGATTTTTGTTTTGTTTACATTGCTATGCAATCCATACCGAAGACTGTGCTCTTTGATCTTCATCAGTAAATATTTTGTCCTCTCCACTTTCAGCAAGCAAGGTTGTATCATCTGCATATCGTAGGATGTTAATGAGTCTTCCTCCAATCCTGATGCCACGTTTTTCTTCATAGAACCCAGCTTCTCAGATTATCTGCTCAGCATACAGGTTGAATAAGTATGGTGAAAGAATACACCCCTGTCGCACACCTTTCTTAATTTTAAACCATTCAGTGTTCCCATGCTCTGTTTGAACAACTGCCTCTTGCCTGGTAAATTCGAACAGCTGACCGTACGGTTTGTAGCTCAATTTGCAACACGCTACGCTACCAGAGGAGTCCTGGTGTGTCACTGTGGGTAAATGCGCCAGACTGAGCAAGCTCACCAGCTGCTCCTTGGAAACCCTATACAGGGTCACTATGGGTCGGAACCAACTCGACGGCACTTCACAGCAACAGCAACCCTACTAGAGGACTCTTGGTGGGGCACTGTGGGTTAATGCACCAGACTGCAAAGTCAGCGGTTCAAACTCACCAGCTGCTCCTTGGAAACCCTATACAGGGTTGCTATGGGTCAGAATTGATTCGAAGGCACTTCACAACAACAACAACAACGCTACCAGAGCTCCTAGTTGCAATGGGCAATAGCACCAAACATGCCCACATCCTGATCCCCGGAACCTGTGAAGGGTGTTTTTATGTCAAAGTGGACTTTGCAGTTGTGACTGCGTGAAAGATTTGAGATGAGCAGATTATCTGGGTGGGCCCTAAATATCATCCTAAGTGTTCTTACAAGAGAGGGAGTCAGGAAGACCAGGGTTAGAGTCGGCGAACTAACAGAGGAGCCAAGGACCGTGGGTGGCCTTAGGAAGTTAGGAAAGGAAAGAAATGAGTTCTGTTGTCAGAGCTCCACCCTGACTTTAGCTCCGACTTCCAGACTGAAGAGAATAGCATCGTGGTTTAGACCATTTTTTATTGTGATTTGAGTATGTTTCCATTCAATCATCTGTAAACATTCTGTTGTGTGACATTGATTGCAATCCCTAGGGAGTGACCACCCTTCCCACCTTCTGCACTTACCATTTCCCATCATCTTTCTTTCCTGGCCCTTCCTGCCTTCTGAGCGCTATCTCTGGGCAAATGCTGCCCTTCTGACCTTATATGATCGATTATCCTAAGGAGTGAGAACCTCCCTGGTGTTATTCACCGTTTGGTCGAGTTGAATCATGGAGGTGAGTTCATTCCAGACCTGAAGAGTAACTAAGGGTCTCAGGAGCTCCTTCGGTCTCTATGAGATCAGGAAGCCTGGTTTTCTTCATGATTTTGAGTTGTGTTCCATTTTTTCCCTCCCACCCTATCCAGGACCTTCTGTTATGATCCCTTTCAGGGTTATTGGTGGTAGTAGCCAGGTGCCATCTAGTTTGGGTTTCAGAGTCATGGATACTGGAGTTCACATGGTCCATGATTCCTTTGGACTAATGGTTTCCATGCATCTTGAATTTTCTTCCCTCTTCTTTGCTCCAGATGGATGGCTGCACCTTAGATGGCTGCTTATAAGCCTTTAAGACTCCTTTCATCACACACCAAAGCAGGATACAGAACATTATCTCTGGGAACTACATTCTCTCAATTGACCTTCGTTTCCATTGAGACTGTGGTACTGAGCCTCCAGGCCCATCAATAATTGTCCAAGGTGTTTGGTTATGGCTAAGAAGTTTCCATAACTTTCAGATTTATGTTGTTTCAAGGTTTGTGGAAATTTGTTACAGCAGTCTCTGGAAACACATAGAATATGCAAAGAACTTGGAAGCTAAAGTCCTAGTGATTTAGTGGGGGGGCCACCCGTGTTTTCGTAGTCAACCACAACTGCCATCTGTCGATTGCCCAGCAGAAGAGCCCAGTGGAAGCAAACACAATTCCCCCTGAGACTTTGCTCAGCTTCATCCAACTGTTTTGTGTGGTCAACACCCTTCAGTGGCTCAGGATCCTGAAAAATACCCACCCAACAGAGAGTGCCCACCACTCGTCTGTCAGTTTGTCATACTGTGGTGGCCTGTGTGTTATTGTGATCCTGGAAGCTATGCCACTGGTATTTTAAATGCCAGCAGGGTCACCCATGGTGAAAAGGTTTTAGCTGAGCTTCCTGACTAAAGCTAGGCAGAAGGAGAGGCAGACCACTTCTGAATGTTTAGCCACTGAAATCCTGATGACTAGCAGCTGGACAGGGTCAGATAGAGTGCCACAAGATGAAAACGAATGAATAGCTCTAGATACAGTGCCACAAGATGAAAA